CAAAATGTCTTACCTGGGGGTGGGGGAGTAAGTGCTACTATTAAAATGATATTAGCTAATATATGTCAGTGCCCTAACATATTACATTAAAAGAAAACATTACCAAATTGGTCGTGAGATTCAAAACATTGTAACACGAAAATTATTGTTGCACTTCTGAGCATAACTTTCAAATTTAAAAAATCTAAGAAAAGAAAATTTGAGACAAAATTTTTTTTTAGATAAATAGATCCCTTTTAAAGCTGAATTGAATGGTGGTAAGTTTTTTAAAATCCAATGTGTGGGATCACATAATATTTCAAGAATTTTAACTTTTGAGTATAGATGATCCGCACTGTAACAAAAAAAAGCATTCATTATTTCGTATGGAAAGGAAAGGCCAAGAAAATCTATATTACACAATCTAAATGTATTACATACAAATAAATAAATTGATGATCGTAATTTATTAGTATTAGCATTTTGTTTATTCCTTTGGTCCTAAGCCTTTTCATTATATATAGATAGATATAGATATATACACATTCTTTTATATCATTCTCCGCCTCTTCCTCTTCCTCATTCTATCCATTCTCGTTTCATTCCAATAAATTAAACCATGAGTAAAGAGTATAAACCTCTAATTAAAGAACAAGAGGAGGAAGAAGAAAAGGTTACAAATTTTTCAAACCAACCCACTCCATCCTCCAATTCTTCAGACATATCAGAACAACAAAAACCATCAAATAATTTTCCATCTGTGTTTTCAAAAGGAGCACCATCAATTATGGCCTATTGTATTACCAGTATTCTTATGACAATTACAAATAAATGTGTGTTGTCAGCCTATGATTTCAACATGAATTTTCTCTTATTATGTATCCAGGTATTATTATCATCATTATTTAATTTTTTCTTTTATTGAAAGATTTTAATTAATTAATTAATTAACGAATAAATATAGTCGACTGTTTGTGTTTTACTTTTAAAAATATTCAAATTATTTAATTTGATTTCTTATAAAGAGATTAATCTTAAATTATCAAAAAATTGTAAGTTTCTATAAATGTTTATTCAAATATATATTTTTAAACTATACTAATAAAGAAACTTGTTTAATTAATTTAATTAAGGGTTCCCTGTTGTATTTTTACTTGTTGTCATGATTTATACAGGAAGCAAAAGGTAAATAAATAAGTATATTTGTGATTAATATCTTTATTTCCTGATTTTCTTTCTAATTGATTTATTATCTTTTTTTTTAGTTTACAATTTCTTGCAATTCCTATATATACTATATTCAAGAATTTAACCATTATTTTTATTGCTTATGGTGAAGTATTATGGTTTAAAGGTTCAGTGACAGTATTAATGATGACAAGTTTTCTATTGATGGTATAATAATAAATGGATATATATATATATATATAAATTTAAATCTTATTATTTTATTATTTTATTAGAAATTTAGAAATATTTAATTTCTAATATTAATATTATTGTATTAATAAAATAAATAAATAGGTCTTTTCTTCAATAATAGCAGCCTCATCATCAGATTCGGTCAATTCAATTATAATTGAGAAATATTCTCCATTTAACTTTGGTTACATTTGGATGGGCTTCAATTGTGTTTCTTCAGCTACATATATTTTATTTATGAGAAAAAGAATCAAATCAACAAACTTCAAAGACTTTGACACTGTATATTATAATAACATGTTATCAACTCCATTGTTGGTTTTCATGAGTTTAATAGTGGAAGATTGGTCCTATGCTAACTTAGAAAAAAACTTGTAAGAATATTTAATAAATTCATTTATCTATTATAATATAATATACATGTATACATATATATTATATATTAACCCATTGACTATTATTGTTATTTTTATTGTTATTATAGTCCAATTGAAGTCCGAGGTACTTTAATATTATCAATGTTATTCTCAGGATTATCAGCTTTTGCAATTTCTTTTGCTTCTGCATGGTGTATTAGAGTCACATCAAGTACCACTTACAGTATGGTTGGCGCATTAAACAAATTACCAATAGCTGCAAGTGGTATGATTTTCTTTGGTGATCCTACAACTTTTGGAAGCGTATCTGCTATTCTTATTGGTAAATAAACAAGGTTTAATCTTATTTCTTCTTCTCCTCTTAAAAGAATCATTTATTAAAATGGTTTTTATCAAAAAAATTAGGTTTTTTTTCTGGAATTTTATATTCAATAGCAAAAAATGAACAACAAAATATTGATAAATCAACTATTATCAACAATGACAATAATTTACATAAATCTTCTTCCTCAACATTAAAATCACATCATAACATAAATGATCCAATAATCAGTGAAAAATACATTGAGCATACAACAAATTCAATAACTATAAAAATAGACAATGACAATAGCAATAATGAAAATTAATCAATAATAATATCAATTATTATTAATTAATATCATTATTGCTATTGTTATTAATGTGTAAAATATAATTGTTGTTTTTCTAATAAATTTTCAATTTCTCTAACCAAACTTAGATAATGAAAATGATTTTTTATGAAATAATAAAAAATAACAGCACATGTTTGAGGCATGTTTGTTGTGACCTACTACCCTGGATTTTTTCCTACTAGTACATTTTAGGTTATTACTTTGAAGTAATCACTGTTTGACAAAATGTGATGAATAAAGAAAAGTTTCCGATAAGTTAGTTACGTGGCAAATAAGCTTTGGATGATTTTTATTTGGTAAAATAATGTGATAACCTTCTTATATCATGTAATTATAAAATGATGCAATATAAAAATTTGTCACATACGTTATCAATATGTTTCTTTATTATTATTAAAAACTTGTTTAGTGACAATTTTGACATTATAGATTATATTTATTAAAAATGGCTGAATATCAAACTTTTGAAGGAAATGTAAAAAATTAGACACTTTTTCTTTTGCACAAATTCACATGTTATATTAATTAACAATTGCAAAGGTACGAATCTTCCATTAATCATCACAAGAAGAATCTTAATTATCCAAATGTTGACTTCTCCTACCAGCCAATCATAATTGGTAACATCCAGATGTATGTATGATTACACATAATGTACATTCATTCTATTCGCCTCTTTATCCATTAATAATATAATAACAATCATTCTTTTTATTTTTAAGATCCATTTATTTATTTACTTTGAATAATTTTATTTACCATAATAATGATTATTATAATCGTAATAAAGAAGTATGAAATTTTAGATTTGATCAAAGGCTTTGAATTTGCATATTTATTTTTTGGTGGGGTTAAAGTTTTACCAATTTTTATGGTAAAAACATTTTAATATTTTGGTAAATTTCTTGGGGTTTGTGTTTTTTTCCTCCCTCAATACAATCAAAATTTTATCATTGTACTAAAACTGGATTTATTTTTTATTTTTGTGATTTTTAAAAAGATTGTCGTTTCACATCTTTACATGTTTATATGTCAGCAAAAAATATGTATATATGTATAAACTATAAACTTGTGTTCACCACCCTTTTCTTTTTACAATTATACAAATAAAATAAAATATAATAAATAAATAAAAAAAAGAAAAAAAGAGAGTAAAAAAAAATATTTTCCCCTAAAAATTTTTTCAATAGTAATTTTGTTGGATGAATTTTTTTTTACTGTATATAATATTATCCATTTTTTTTCTATCCATTCAATAAAAAAAAACTAAATTGAAACGCTTTATTTTTTAAAAAAGAAATTTTAACACAATAAAAATTAAAAGTAAAAATAAAAAAAAATGCCTATAGCCGAAACACTTGATAACTCATTTGATATGGATAATAATCAAGAAAATTTCCAACAAATGAATGCCGCTACTTTTCTTCCACTGATGCTTCAAGCTCAAGACCTTGTAACTAAATTGGAAAGTAGAGTGATTGAATTGGAAAATGACCTTGAAGTATGTATATACTCGTATTAAATTAATGTTTACATTGATATATATTTTTCATTAATAATAATAATGAACCGAATGTTTATTTAGAGTGATTAAATTTAACATAAAATAAAAATTTTTCTTTTGTGTTTGGAAATAGACGATAAATGAATCTCATGAGCAAGAAAGGGATCAATTACTTCAAGAAATTGGTGAAAAAGATGAATACATCCATAATCTTAAAACAAAAGTTAGTAGACTTGAATTTGGTGCGCGAGAAGCTATAATTGTATTAGCTAGGACTGTTGAAACTCTCAAAGCACAAAATGACGATGAAGAAGATAGAGAGGATGATGATAATGCTACTGCTGTTGAATCAACTGACTTGGAAGGACAATTTCTTGATAGTATTAAATTATGCTTGAATTATTTAAAGAGTGCTCAAAATTATCGAAAACTCTCAAAAAATCGGAAAAAACGTTCATCCCAAACTCCTATAAGAAAAGATTCAAAGATTCAACAAAGTAATGATGAGGATTATGATGATGATGAGGTGGTAGACCATAATCACAACACGCGCATCGACAATAATAACGACACACAAAAAAAATCAAAAAATCAAATCATTGAAAATAATGATGATGATAATTATAATTATAATAATGATGATAATGATAATAATGATGATAATGATAGTCATGACAATGATAATAATAATAATAATAATAATAATAATAATAATAATGATAATAATAATGTAAATCTACAACAATTATTAACACCGGAAACTGGCCAAAGTCCAAGAAGAGTATCTATAAGTAGTCAAATTTCATTAGAAGACATACCTGATCTTGATGATTATGATTTAGACGGTAATGAAGATATTGCTGAATTTAATATATCTGAAGATGAGGGTGCTAATGATTTTGCGTCGAAATTTCGCCTAACACCAAGAAAATCCATCGATAGTTTACATGATGAAGAAGAAAGAAGGCATTTAGAAGCTGCATATTCAATGAGTAATGGTAATGAAAATGCTGACTTTGTAGAAGAACCAGAAGATATGGATAATAGGCATCATAGTGACGATGATAATGAAATTGGAAATTCAAGTGAAGAAGAAGATAGTGGCAATGAAGAAGATGACGACCATGAAAACGTTAACATTCATAATCAACTTCCACCACAAGGTCCAATTCCAAATATTTCCTATACTGATAATTCATGTCCAAATTGTAATGTATTGCTTGCTCAAGTTGATCAACATCTTGAAGAACGCGCTTACCTTAAAAGAGATCTTTCTGCTCTCGCAATATCTTTATCAGAAGAACAAGGACTTCGTGCACAAATACAAGCAAATAAAGAATCTTTAGAGCAAGAAATTGATGATTGGTTAAATGCAATGTTTGAAAAGGTTAACCAAATGGTGTTTGATGAAGCCAATACTCGTGAAGATATTGAATTGCTTAATAGAGAATATAAGGGAAAATTTGAAAATTTATTTAAAGGCTCTAATTCCAGACAAGACAGATTACGAGAATTGAAATTATTATTGGTCCATTTAGATTCAACTAAACAAAGACAAACTGGCACAGCAATACATAATGGACCTGGCGCACTGAATAGAAATTCTATAGCTCGTCGAAGTGTAATGTCAAATTCACCAATTAATAGTCCTAGAGGTAGTAGAATTTTCGGTAACTTTGGCCACATGTCACCAAGCATCTTTTCCAATTCATCTGAAGAATACTCTTTGACAAAGGGCAAACGTATTTATATTGATGGAGTGCTATTTGAAGAATTTCAAGAGTATGTTAAATCATTTATCACGTCACCTGCACCCAACACATCAACTCCTACACATTCATTTATGAAACGTTGCATGGTGGAAGACATTCAACCTTGTCTTTTCGAAGGAAGTACAGGTTGGAAATCACCATTCTATAAGAGAAGATTGTTGGATGCTATAATGAAAAATCAATGTGAAATTCAAGCAATCTATTATAGTTCTTCTAATTCAGTGCCAACCACACCATTATCAAGTCAATTCAGTAATAGTTCTGTAAACCGTTCCAATAGTTATCATGAGCCTCCACCAGCGCCCAAAGTAAAATGTGGACTTTGTGGTCATTTGAGAAGTTGTGATTTCCGTATGAGATTGTCGGGACCGGATGCTGCAATTCCACCATCAACCACGACAATGACACCATCAGCTCAATCATCAAGATTCTCGATAAACTCTAATCCAGGATGGATTCCGCTTGATAGATTTTGCAGAGATCGTGTTGTGGCAGTTTGTGATTTCTACTCTTATCTATCACATTTACGTCAAGGATTACTTAACAATTCTCCAGTATGGGGAATGTATAAACAGTGTTTGAAATACCGTAGAAGAATGGGAATGTCACGTGTTGGAAGTGTTAGTATGTTTGAAGAAGAAGAAAATATTGCTAATGAACTTTTAAATAATTCTGAAATAGAAGCAATGGTTGTTCTTGTTCATTAATTATTACATTTTTAATATTATTATCAAAGAAACTAATTGTGAAATAATGTGATTATTGTTATTATTATTATTTCATTTCTTTATTAATAAAATTAATCAATAATCAATAGATAAAAATATCAATACACATGAACACATACATGTGTGGAACAATATTTATACATATTAATACTCTTTATATTCATAAAAAAAATAATATTTTCTTTCTTTGTATTTTAAAAGGATTTATTTATTTATTATCACTATAATTGGGCTTATTTATTATTATCATGATGTTTTATACATATATCTATATATATATTAAGTTATTAAAATTTGGATTTTTATGAAAAGAGTTTTTATTTTAGTTTTTTTAAGTTTTGTATATTTTAAGATAGAAAAAAAAAGGAAAAAATTTTTTATAATTATTTATTATTATTATAAATAAATAGATTATTAATTGAAGACGTTAAACATTCCAAAATATCAATTGATTTATAAAAAATAAAATAAAATAATAAAATGAAATAATAATAATAATACTTTATTATTTACAAATTTTTAATTGTTTTACAAAAAAATCACTTGTTAAAATTTCTCCTGCTTTAAATTCACTCTATGTTTAATAGTAGAAGAAGACTTTGATGAAATCACAGGTGACACGGCTTTTTTAGTCAACGAGTTGGTTGGTGGAGTACTTAATTGGGCTTTTTTAGCCCCAAAAAACTTTGTAGAAGGATTTGTCGTTGTTGGTGACGATGATAATGATTTAAGTTTAGGAGATGTAGTAGAAGGCCTATTTATCGAATAAGGTTGTGAAGTTGCTCTAGCGATTTTCAAGCTAGAAATTGAACTTTTCTCTTTGTTTAATGAAATGTTATTATTAGTCTTTACTGTTCCAGAGAAAGAAGATCCTTTGGATGTTGTTGATGATGATGTCGATGAAGAAGATGAAATAATTCTTTGGTTTCCCAACATTGATGATGATGACGATGAACTAATTCTCCGGTTTTTCGACATTGATGGTGTTGATGATGACGAAATCATTCTCTGGTTTTTCAACATTGAAACAGCATGCGACGAAGATGAAGTTGATGAAATAGTTCTCCGATTTTTCAACATTGATGCAATATGAGATGATGATGATAATGATGATGTTGACGACAATGACGACGACGATGATGACGATGATGAAATGATCCCTTGGTTTCTCATAAAAGGCGATGATAATTGAGGTTTTAAAATTTTTGTGTTAACAATTGCATTTGATCGAGGTATTGTTGGATAAGGTTTATATCTTAAATCTAATTTTTGTGATGATTTAGAAATTGATTTTATCGCAGAAGAAAATGTATTGCTGCTACTATCATGGCTATAAATCTTTGATGATGGTGATGGTGATGGTGATGGTGATGGTGATGATGATGATGATGATGATGATGATGATGATGATAATGATGATGATGATGACGACGACGGTGATGGTACCTTAAATCCACCTTCTCGTTGCAACCAAGTGATTGGAACACTCATACTGTATTTTTTTAGTTTATTGTTGTCGTTGTAGTTTGTTTTTATCATTTCTTTTCGTAGTTTTTGCAACGGGGTTAAATTTTTCTTTGCTAAATTATCGAAAAACTTATAAATATATGTATATAAATTTTAAATATGATTAAATATACATTACCATTTCTATTTTTTGAAGGAATGAATGATATCATTTTTATTGATCTTGCTTCTCTTTCTTTCACTGTCGCAGCTACTGATGCTCTTAATTTCGCTCGAGCTTTCTCAAATTTAGCATTTTGTTCTTTCAGAAGATGCTTTAATGATTTATGAATTAACCGATTACAATCAATCAATCAATCATCGATAAAACATTGATTAAATCAATAAAAGAAATAAAATCACGTCTAAAAGATTAAAATTTAAATTCTTACAAAGTAGTATTTCCGCCAATCAACAGATTTTTTCTTTTTCCTCTCTTGGTAAGCTTTTTCATTTAATTTTTGGCAAAACATCTCCCATAATTCTGTTTAAAAATTTTATCATTGCAAGAATATTTAATACGTGCAATACATATATATTTTATAAATAAAGATAAAAGCTTTTACCCATATCGTCTTTTGCAAGTTGCTATATATTGAATGCACATATTCAATTTGTATATTTTAAAATAAAATAAAATAAATAATTTTTTATAGATGAGTCTTATTGCTAAAACAAAGCAAACCAAAAAAATTTACTTACAGGACTTTTTTCTTCGAATTCAAGGATTTTTTCAGGCTTAAAATCCATCAATATTGTTCTTATTAAACGGTAAGGTACAGAACCTACCCCATCGAGAACTACAAAATATTTACGTAGTTTACTTAATTTTTTTTTTGAATTGGTCATTTTTACCTTATAATAAACAAGAATTAAAAGCATAAATAAAACTTACAATAACGACTTTTCCAAATGGTCGCTTTACATAAATTAAACAAAGAATCCACCTTTGAATCCATTGAAAGCTCGAATTGGTTTAAAAAATTTAAAAAAATTGAAATTGTATGTATGAATCCGGAGGGAGAATTATTCTATTTATACGACGCATCAGTGTAACAAATAAATTACTTTTGAATTATTATTTTCCATTCCAGAAAAAATTGCTTAGCGCATGAAATGACTAGTACAAATTTAGAATATATTCCATTCAAATTTGATTGGATAATTTCCCAAGACGTAATACGATTCCCACAGTAATCATAAATGGGATAAAACTTTGCAAATTCTCGACACGTGCAGGAGAGCTTGTTCCTATAAGTACCGGAATAGACGAATATGTACACACATTAACATGTTAATATTAATATTAAATTAATATGTAGTTCTGCCAATATCGTATATTTTTAGGAAACTCGATGAATGTAAGTTTTATTTAAGAAATATCTAAAAGAAAGAGTCAACAAAAATTTTTTTAGTATATAAATGGAAATTTGAATGATTGTAAAAAATTACACTACATCCCGTCATGTGATAAAAATTTTTTTTTGTTTTGGGGAGTATTGGAGTTTTAATATACATGAAAATTTCACACCCCTACATCCCCGAGAGTGACCTTTTTTTACGATATTCTTTAAAAATATGTTCCCTATAACGGAAAATTATTTTAGTACTTGCCATTTTTTATACAAAGTCGTTAATTACAGAATTAGTGAGCGACATTTCCCTTGCAGATCCTTATTTAGAATTCATAGATGGATCATTTTTAAAAAAACGTTGAAATTAACTCAAAAACCAAAAAAAGAAACTCGACCGAAAATAGGACCATTCATTAATATATTTAGTTGGGCTTTGTAGATTATTACCTAACAGGAAACATCACAATAGGTAGGGCCCCGAAAACTATAGATAAGCCTGTTGTTATATAATTTTGACCCAAGCCAAGGTTAAGTATTTGACCTTGTTGTATATATGTGAAATTGAAATCTATAATTAAAATTTGGGGTGGGGTGTTTGGATATGAAAATTCTGATTGGCTAATTGAATTTCACGTCCGTGAATTGCAAATTCACAATAAATTTTAATTTTCATGCACAACAACTCTGTTTGCAATATTAATATACAAATCAAGGGCGATATGACCTTCGTTTAAGCAGAAAGCCGCAAAATCGCAATATGAAGATTATATCTAAAATTGGTTAAGTGCTGAGTTTCTTTGTAAATCACATGATTAGACGTTTTTTATTTCACTTATCTTGTTATACTGTTATTAAAAAGAATTTATCAATATTTTGTTTTTACATGCATTTCATTAAATTTGGTGTTAACGGCTGGATTTGTTGGCTCTATGGAAACAGGTCAGGGTTTATATTCGAATAAAACAAACAATTCGAATAAGAGTTATTGTAATGTGGAGGAGGGTTAAATCGTTCGTTAAACTTTGACCAATCAAATTCGAAATATAAGTTACGTAAGGTAGTTATACAAATATTGAGCAGAGCTAAATTTACTCAAACTGGTTTGGCTTCAAACCTGTTATATATATAACACTCTCAATTTATATTAGAAATATATTTATCACGTGGTAGGTTCTGATCAAATTATTAAGATGCTTTTGATGTAGTAACATATTTCCTGAATCATTCCTTTATTCAACTAATTTTATTTGGTATTAATAAGTGGAACTCCATCTGACATTTTGAAGTATTTCACAGGATTGATAGAATTACAAACTTTCTCAACCATCTTGAACTTAATACAACATTTCTGTTTCCTCGTCCACTCCTGAATTAGTTCTGTTGTATTTGAATGATTGATGATGAAGACAAGTCGGAAGGAGATACAGATGTTATTATTATATAATAGTTTACAATATGTTACGCCTGTACCCATTTCGTGACAATGATTCAATTCCTTTCTTGTACCTTCCACACACTGTCATCATTATCACCAAACATTCATTGCTCGAATTTGACATTCTTATAAGGAGGGGAATCATTATAAAAAATGAGATGCCAGTACTTTCTGAACTTGCTGCTAAACTTATGTCAATTTCTGCAGCAGGAAGAAATTGGCCATTATTTTAGTGATTGATCATTATAACAAATTTACCACAATTCAATAAACTCCAGTTTGTGCCGAACCCTTTAAAAAAATCTTCTTCCTCTTTGGTGCAAATAAATACATAGATTCCAATGAATATAAATTGGATAAATATCAATAGTGAATAGAGAAAAGAAGAAAAAAAAATGATTTGTAATTGTAAGATTAGAAATTCGAAATCCCAAACTCCAATTCAAAATATCAATCATCCATTTATAATTGATGGCTCTATAATTTATAATTTACCATTTTATACAATTACAACAGAGATATTTTTTGTAATAGAATTTTAACAAAATATTACAGTAGTAAGAATGTTTATTCTACAATTAAACTAGATCAAAAAAATTTTTAAGAGAAATTATCTTTCTTATGTGATTATTTTTACTTTTATAATAATTTATAGTAGATATCATTATTATTGCTAATTTGGATTTGGTTTTTCTTGCCTTGGATGAAATCATCAATGGTGGGCAATTAGAATAAATAAATAAGATAGAGTGAACTTATACAATCAATTTGCACAATCTAATTTACCATCTAATCTAATGACGTGTTATTTATAATATTATTTAGCATCACATTAGACAAATTCAAATATTATTGTTTCCAGACTTCATACCGAATCAGCAGATATCCCAATAGCAGCGCGAATCATTCTTGAGTATATTTTATAGCCAGAGGTAGAGTTGCCAAGCATTTATTAAGACATATTATATTTGTATTTAATTTGTATCATGATAATTTAATGTGAATTAATTATATATCTCTAATTCGATCTTAGTCACGTAATAGCCTTCTTGGCTCAGTTGGCAGAGCGTCTGCCTTGTAAGCAGAAGGTCACCAGTTCGATTCTGGTAGGAGGCAATAATCAGTAACTGATTATCTGGTCAAATTTTTTTTTTAAAAAAATTTTTTTAACAGAATAAATGAGTGTTAATTCAAAGGTAATAAACAAATAAACGCATATATAAAGGATAATTCCTTATTTTATCACAATTATAATAATTATAGTTGCAATTACAATATTAGTTGGAACATATTTCATTATTTTGTGAAAAATATCCACAAATTGCAAATTGTCTTATGCTCGTTTATCTTGATTTAACTCTAGGTAATTTCCTTTGTTATTGATAATTTTTTAATTTAGATTTTCCAGTAATACTAATTTCCAATGATTTCTAATTTTTTATTAAGTTAAATCATGGTTCGAAGTTAATGTTGAAGAGGTTGAACAATTACAAAGATGTATTATAAAGGGAAAACAAAATCAAGAAGTAAAGTTCTTTATATATTAGAAGAGATAGCAACTTAATTAATTAATTTAGATTTTTTTATCAGTCAATGTATGAAATAATTTTACCTTGTTCATCAGCGGAAGAATGGTCAATTGATCGGTAAATAATATAATCAATAAATAATACATTTCTTTATTCAAGGTTTTGGTAAATTTTCAATTTTCAATTATCGCTAGATTAACCCAATTCTTTTCTTCATTTCCAACAACAACAATGACAACATCTTCAACAGTCGAGGAAGAATCTTTGCACAAAAAGTAATTAAATATTTTTAATAATAATAATAATTAATATAATAGTAATATTTTATTTGCAATAATTCAACAATTAATTACTAATAATGCACTTGTTACATCGAAACAGTGTTATTCTTGCGATCACTTTCACTGATTCTACAATTGTTTACTATAAACTTCATGAAGGCATCGTTCCTCCTATAGATAAGAATAATAATAATGAAGAGAATGATGATGTTGATGACAATAAAGATGACATTGATAAATATATATGAATCGAGGTAAACTTAAAAGATATTTATTATTTAATTTAAATATTTCGGCTGTATATTAGGTTTGCACTTAAAAAATTTATTATTGTTGTTACTAGTGATTAAACAGTTCAAAATAAAAATTTCAAATTAAAATATTTTTATTTGATTATTTAATAATTTATTCTCTTTTTATATTTTTATTTAATCCTATTTTTCCTAATACCCAACGTTTAATCCCATAACTTTTATTTGCTAGGGTTGATGCGTTTTCTATTTTCGATGATGAAGGCGATTTTACGAATGAAATACCTCCATCATTTGAAACTATGGCATATGACATTGAAGGAAGATAAGGTGGTGATGATAACGATGATGATGATTTCTTATTATGTGAGTTCATTGGATCTGCTGCCACAATCTCTTCTATTGAGGGTGATGCTAAACTAAAATTTTGACAAAAATCAATTAGATTATTATTATTATTATTATTATTATTATTATTATGAATATGAAGATTAAAGAGAAGTTGATAATTTACAACTTAAAACCTCCAAGAACCGGCTCAATTCTACTTGATAAATAAAAATCTCCTGGTCCCGTTAATTTTAGAAATTCCTATTTATAAAAATAATAAACATTAAAAAATTCACATTTCAAAATAAATTATTTATTAACAAATAACTTACTGGACCACCAAAAGCCCATTTTCTCGTTGCAACAGAAAATTTACAAATTCTATTTAACATAGGCCTTATTGTTGGACTGCTTTTAATTGAATCTAGGAATGATGAAGATGCCTCTGATATTTTTTGACTGATTCTATTTACAAGTTTATTTCTTTGGATAGATGATGATTTAATTAATGAATTAGATACTATTGGATATGTTTTTGAGTTCCATGCAACAAGATATCTGTAAGAAAAGATATACATATAAAGGTTAATAAAAACTATTTTATATTAATATATTAATGTTTATTAATATTTATTTATATTTAAATACTTTGCATTCACCAAATAATCATCATCAGGATTCAATACTAATTTATGAATGGTTCCATAATTTGAAATTACTAGTGTACCTCTACCAGTAACACGGTATGCAAATGCATTCAATGCCCCCTAAATCAATAAATAATTATAATAACAATGTATGCATTAAGAATCTTTAAAAAATCCTTTAAATTGTTGTTATTATTTTTTAGTATTTTAAAAATTTCTAACCATTCCACGAATATGACCAATATTAATTGAAACTCTTGGACCTCTTGCAAGAAAAGCATTTTTACGAACATAATATTCCGAATCGCCATCCATTTCAATCTTTGCGATATCAGATAAATTTTTTGGACTTAAGATCACATCACCAGGGTCAGGACCTGTTGAGAACTAAATATATATAATGAAAATGATGGTGAAGATTTTTTTTTTATTATGTTAGAGTAGTTGAAAATTGAATTATATATAAAACAACTCTTTTTTTGTTTCTAAGTTTAAATAAATACTTTATGATAGATTAAAGATCCACCAGCAAATTTTCTACCTAAAGCAATTAATATATTTCCTTCAGTTGTACGTTCCACGTGTATCTAAAAGAGAATAAAGATAATTTTAATACATATTTACATTTCAATGTAATCAATCAATCAATCAATAAATCAATAAATCAATTCATTAATTATTAATTCATTCACACTTTGCTTGATACAGATATGGCAGCTCCAGGAAATGCAAATATCTCTGACCTTGGTGGAATTTTAACCAAAAGTAAAGCACCCAAAGTACCTGGAGACACAACTTCGAATTTTGGATCTGGTATAGGGTGATGTTTTGTCCATTGAGTGGTGGAATTTATTCCTTATTTAATTTATAAAATATATATTATCTAATTTTTAATATCAATTATCTAAATATTATTATATAATTAAAAATTATTATTATATTATTATAATTGATAAACTTAAATTATTACCAGGTTTTACAGAAGTAATGACACTTTCATAAGTTTGATTATTATCATTAGTAACATTGGTTTTTTCATTTGTTTTTGTATTGTAAGCCAAATCAGCATATGAGCGTATGATAAAACTTTTAAATTTTAATACAACGGAAATGTTTTTTTTAATAATTAAATTATTTGACATTTTTAATTTCTATGAATCAAAAAAAATCTTGATAAAATTTTTAAACCAATGATGATGATTGGCCAATTAATTTTCGATTTTTTTTTAAAAGTCATTTTGCGATTTTTTTTATTTCAATATTTAATTTATTATAAATTTCAATATGACTCAATTCATTTAATGGCATTAATTGTCTGATAGCAACGCCATTATCACCACCACCAAGTAAAGTGCTGAATTTTTTAAATAGAATTGGTAAAACTTGTTCCACGCTGATTTCTTGATTTGTTTCTCCTCCTCGTTTGTTAAGTTCTTTTGTAATCGAAGTTACACTTTTACCTTCAATCCCACAAGGAATTATGTGATCAAACCATCTTAAATCTGTATTACAATTAAGTGCAAATCCATGCGATGTTATAAATCTTTGAACTTGAATACCTAAATCATTATGTCAAATTAATTATGACGAGATGAGCGTCGGTGAGAAGTTAATTAGTTAATTGCCATTTTATATTTATTATGATAATAACTTTAATTACCAATTGCACATATTTTCTCATTTTCAACCCAAACGCCAGTATCTTTGGTAGTTCTGGCTTTAATTTCATATTCAGAGCATGTATCAATAATCAATTTTTCAATTGATGCAACATAAGATCTTACCGACAACTAATAAAACCAATTATAAAGATTCATATTAATATTATATTGTTGGCATTATTCAGAATCTTCGCATAATGAATACCTTGAAATTATTTAGATTCAGTATTGGATAACAAACTAATTGACCAGGCCCATGAAAAGTAATCTTACCACCCCTCAATGTCTATTAATGGATTGATTGATTAATAGATTGATTGATTTTTTGTTGATGATTAAAATCAGTAAATATTTATTTATTAACTCTAAAATATTCTGCTCCTAATTTCTTTAATCGCATTTCTTCATCTTCTTCACCATCATCTTTCACTAGTCTTCTTCTTCCTACTGTATAAGTTGGAGGATGTTGCAGTAATATTATTATATCAGATGAAGGTTCATTAAATTTTTTATGATGCTCAACAAGAAAATTTTGTAATTCAAGCCCTTTTGAATATGAAAATTTGGAAAAATAAACATATGGAAGAATTAATTTATTATTGTTGTTGACATTGTGTTTTTCTATAATTAAGGAATAATTCCTAATTTTTACTAAAAAATTTTTTTTAAAGTGTAAACGAGACAAAATCATTATCAGTCAGACATTTACTAATTTTACTATTAATAACGCCATCCATGACTGAATCAATCATTGTATGATTAACCCATTCCAAGGATGGCATGATCATCGTAAAATGTTTGGTCAGACCTCACTCAAAAAAAAAAAAAAAATGAATATTATAAATAAAATAGATGAAATAAAGATTAGCAAGTATATTAATATTAGCAAACA